TACTTATTCGACAGCTCAATCACGTAAAAATGGAAAATGGCACTCAGCCGTATTGTACTAGCAGGTTAAAAAGGCTTCCACTGTTTTCCTATCCTTCTCCAGACCCCCTGGGTCCCACAATATGCCGTTCGGGGTGCCGCTACTTTTTGGGCTCTAGAACGACGTGTCTTCCTTTTCAATAGAACGGCAATTAATGAGCAGCTGAGCTCGGCTTCGGCACAATAACCGTAACACAGTAGCGACTATTGCCTCTGCGTCAGCACAATCCAGCGGCATCTTCCGTGACGTCGCAACTCAAAGAGAAAGAGAAAAAGAAAAAGAGAAAGAAAAAGGGGAAAGAAAAAAGAAGACATTCCAGACTGTCCTCCACCCCTCCCCCTGGCCAGTCTGATTCGATGTGAGTGCTCGCAATGCTGCGGCCGTCCAAGATTGAATGCTTACCCGACTTGTCAAAATCCTGCACGCACGCAGACTAGGTAGATGCTGGGTTGTACGAGCAGCAATGGAAAACCGGCGCTGGAACCTTTTGCTTTGTCTCTACCGGTAATGAATGGACGAGATAGGAAATTACCAGGGGACCCCTGCTATTTGCTACATGTCTTTTTCACGCACACCCCTCCCCTCGAAACAGAGTCGACAAGGGGGTGCGAAGAAAAGAGTGACTTAAACAATCAGCATACATTTCTCATCTCTACACACTACAATAGCACTAGAGTCATCCAGCACTTGCTACTGCTACCTCTGCTGCTGCTACTATTACTGCTGCTACTGCTATTACTGCCTTTACAGCAACAACTACTAAGCTTCATGTATGTCTAGAGTCTGGTGTAGATGACAGAACAGGCGTGCTGGATGACTTTTCCTTTAATGAAATAGTGTTTATTTATTAAACCTGTATGTGCATTTTTATCTTGCTGTCCCTATTCTTCTTCGCACCCCTTGGTCGGGTCCTATTTCACTCGAAGGCAAGGTTCAGTAAAGGTTCAATGATGGTAATATACATAATACAGTACGGGTAACCACTAATAAGTCTTGTTTTGCCTATTAAAGAACTTTTCTTCGTCCAGTACTCTCATACGCTCTTCTTTCTCCACTATGAAAATCCTTGGCTTGCTGCAACTCCGGTCCGGAAATATCTCACATCGCAATATAGAATCGACGAAAAAGAAAAAGCAGCAGCCTGAAATTCTGTCCTTGGCGTGATGTGGAGTGCCTGTCGCTGTGAGTTGCTTTTTAGTGTCTCCTCCGTACTCCGATCCGTGTCTACTCGTACGAGAGAAAAATCCTACAACCCTTGTCCAGCCTATACGGTGGTTGTTCTGGGGGGAGGGGTCTTTGACTGCATGTAGTGAGCTTTACGGTCGATTTGGGCCAGTGTCAGATTTTGGCTTGCTTCCAAACTAAATTTTGTCTTGTATACCCTTCTAGGTATCTTGCTCATACCGTACTCGAACAATGCTCGTGGATGAGAAGCATAACGAGCAGCACAACCTGAAACCAGCGGGATGAAGATTCCCCATTATACATGTCATGAGCAGATCAACCTCATTTCGTTAAAGTTCTGTTGTTGTTTTTTTACTCGTAATATGTCAGCAACGGTAAAGTAAAGCGAGCGATGGGCGCAGCAATTATAACACATCACTTACACAGAAACCTGCCCTCGACGCCAATTGGCCAATAATGCCCATCCTTACCCCCCGGTTCTACCTCGGACTGCCCATAAAGCCAAGAAACGGACGCCCCCTTTGAATGGGAAATAAAAAGCCCGTGTCTAGACAAAGACCCCCCCATTCAGCTCCGAGTCTCCAGTTTTCGGCAATCCAGCCCACGGTCCATGTCCATCTCCGGCAGGGCTGTTGCTTTGATATTCTGATGATTCCAAGTTGTTGCAATGCCGGGATTCTCTCGGATGTAAGTCGAGGATCCTAGTGGTCCGAATCCTCAAGAGTCTACCAAGGGGGCACTAGACACGAAGTAGGCGTATTACTACAGTACTGCTAGTATTACTATTTCACGGAATTAGAGGATCAGCCCCTTGTTAAACTCTGCGCGGCCCAATCGCCATCCGTCACGCTCGCCATCTATTGCCTATTCCTCCTAGTCTGCATCAACCTATACCACGACTACTTACAGTAGTGGGTGGTGCTAGCTCTGCATCTACAATCCTGCACGAGCGGACAACCCGCTGCTCAGCTTTGTCCTGAAGCGGTAGATCGGCAGCTGCTGACGAAACGCACGACAAAAGCACGCGTTCTAGATACCACAAAACGAGGCCTTACCCCAAACCGCCAAGCTTGTCCGTCGAAATCGAGCAGGTCATCAAGACAAAAGGCTAGGCCCTAGCTGGTGTACAAGTATAGCAGCAGTAGTCATGTCCAACGGAGGTTATTACAAAGCATTAGTGCGACTAATCACGAAAAGCCAAGCAGCAATCCGTATCAAGTCAAGTCATAATACGATGTATACGATGAAGAAAGCGCATGGGCAAGGTGGTGTGCGTATATGCAAACAAGATTCCTACTGGGAAACCCCGTACGACCTATTACCTACTGCAGCCCTTTTTTTTTTCTTCCTCTCTCTTCATTGCTTCCTTCTTATCCGGCGTGAGTTTTACCCTACTTAGGCAATATTTCGTCAGCGAGTCATTTGTTACATCTCTCTCTATTCCATGCTACTACCTATAGCAGTATAGGTAGTCGTAGCATAATTGCTCTACTTTCGCCTGTTTAGCAGCTCGCTTCATAGCCTGGCCCTTAAAATTGCTTGGCTTCCTTGGCAAAGCGTATCAAAAAAGCCAAGAGACGAATTACAATGGAAGAACAAGGGTCTTTTTAGGTTTTGACAGCTGATAGTGCAGAAAGTTGATACAGTACACACACACACATGATGATGGATTAGTATAAACAGGACTTTTTTTAAGTTTCACACCCTCCCTCCCCTGCAATATACTAGATTGTAGACAACACAAGTCCGCAACTCTTGCAGAAACCCGATATGCCTCGGACTTGGACTTCCAAAAAGTGTGTGGTACTGTAGTATTTCCGCCGCCGACGAAAGAAGAGAAGTAAAGGATTGAAAGAAAAAATAATAAAGGCCGGGAGGGGCGGGGAAAAAGAAAACTTGGAAGCATGAAGGAAGGATTCTGCGTACCGGTTTTTTCTTTCGCAAACCCTTTCCTCAGGCGAGTTAGAATCTTCCTTGGCGTTGGGCTGTGCTCCATGCTCCTTTTTTTTTTAACACACTTTAAGCCTCTTTTCGCTGCGAGTTGCGAATATCGCTAGTGATGCGTATTCCTATTCTACTATTAACTCCGTGTTTAGAGGAACACGAAGGAACAGAATAAGGGGGGAGGGGGTTTGTTGTTTTCGCTGCTGCCTTGAAGGACGCACAAAGTAGCAATGTAACAAATTAACTTCTCCTTGAGGCTTAAACTCGTTTTTTTGTTTTCTTTTGACTTCGCCTACTTTCACACTTCGCCTACCTAGGTACATCAGCTCGATACCGAGGTTCATAAACCCGCTGCCAGTAACAAAAGCGACAAATTAAAACAAACTGTAACTTTTCGTTGCAAAAGGGCCTCCCCACCATGATCATTCAGTGGAACCACCAAAGAAAGATAGTAAGTACTGTAGGTGGTATTAAGCAACACAGCCCTCCGCGATCGAGCCCATAACTCGGCCGGACAGTTTATTCATGCCGAAGGGGTGGACATTCTTGGAAAAACCCTTGTTACACTATGATGATACGACAAGAAATACGCCTGACCCTGGTTCTTGAGTTACGTGGTCTGAGCTTCCCTCAAGTCGAAAGGATTCGGTTTAACAGGCTATTACATAGAAGCGAAGACCAAAAACAGTAGTCGGTTGCCTAGAATGTATTGCCCATTCTAGATTGTGTAATCTTGCAACTTTTGGTCAAATGCGTCAACTTTTGGGGTTGAATGCATAAAAAAAAGGCTGACAGGCTCTGGGACTGGTGGGATAATTAATCTCAGCTGCTCACGGAACTAGTCACTCGAGTTATATTTTCTGAATAGTAAACAAATTGTAATCTGGGGCTATTCGCCGCAACTAATATATACAAGTCAGCAAGCGTTAGACTTCAAACTACTCGTGTTCTCCAAGTCTCGCCAAGACTCCCACGAGTTTAAAGTCCGATCAACGATGAGGCTGACTGGCTCGAGGACACGCATCGATTATATGCAAAAGCTCACTACCTTGCAACTCAGCCCAGCAAGTCGAGTAGACTTATTTTGTCTTTCAACCAAGTCATAAGCATCCCGGAAACGACCCTTTCCACCCACAAGCGCTTATACTTGCAGCAACACCAGCTTCCGTTGCAAAAGTACGCTTCTGGCGTTTACTAAACTCGGTAATTAACTACCAACAACAGATGGACAACACACTTGTATCAACCGTAAATCGTAATCCACCACGAGCTATCGTTCCTTCCAGTCATCTGCCCCATCATACAGATAAGGATAGCGAGAATTCCCTCTGTTATTAATTTATCATAGCCTTGGTGGATAGAAGTGAGTCGATTTCCCCTCTTTAGTAATCACCATCGACATAGACATGAAAAGGGAAGGTTTCTGCTGACAGGATGCAATCTATAATTAGACAAAGTCGCCGAGCATGCTACAGCATTCACGTGTTAATTCATGTACTATCTGTGTTTCTATATACCACCTCGTCCCCGCTCGTCTATTCAAAATTGACATTGTAAGAAACACGGATACTCTCAACATCTCGTCAGGTATCACACTCTCTCGTCAAACGCCGTGCCATTTCAATATGCATGCTGCAAAGAGCCTCACAAAAACGTAAAAGCGTAAAGTCCCGTCTGACGGGGAAGAAAATAGTAGCGATATGGTGAAGCTTGAAGCTGTTCCTCCTCGATTCACCAACATTAAGTGCGCGTAAAGAAAAAATATGATAAAAACAAGTTTTGCGTAAAAAGAAATAAACAGATACGCCACCTCGAGGCTATGGCGAACGGTCTTAGTGCCGAGATGAGTAGCGGTTCGTGGTCGGAGAGTAAGGCAAGTCGTAGCCGCTGGACTGAGCATAGGGATCATCTGCGTAGACGGTGCCGCGGCGCTCATCTTCTCCGAGGAGCTCCTTAACCTCCCAGTTGTTCATGCGGGTGCCGACAGAGAACTCGAGATCTTCTTTGGTGATAGAATCCCAGTACTAGAAGCAGCATGTTAGCAAAGTGTCTGTAACACATGTCATCTTCTCTCTCTTCTTCTTCCCTTTCACTCTTCCCTCTCTTCTTCCCCTCTTTCACTCTTCCTTGTCTATTCTTTCCTCTCATGCATCTTTTCTTCCTTCGTCCTTTTTCGTCTTTGTTCTTTCTCACTCGTCCTCCCTTCCCCCCTCCCCCCTCTCTCTCTCTCTCAATTACAATTTCGTCAATCTCACTCACCTTGTAAACCATCATGACAGCCAACAAGTTGCAAATCGTCGCAAAAAATAGCCCATCCAGGTAATGGCTCACAGCCACGCAAATCTTTGAGCTAAACGCATACAGAATTACCTGTCCCGCCACGAAAAAGAAGATGCCAAACGCAATATCGCCCAGCGGCCACCGGTCCTGCAGCGTCCGCACCACCAGCAGAATCTGCATGCCCACGTACACAAACAGCTCAATCGCATTGAGCAGGTACAAGACGACAAACAGGCCAATCGTGTTCGTCGGCCCCAGCCCAGCCCAGCCCTTGAACGTCGCCAACGACACCAGGAAGGAAATGGCAAAGGCCACCAGCGAGCAGAGCCACAGCATCCACACCGACAGCGGCGTGCCGTCCTCGTACAGCTGGAATCCCACAAAGCCATTCACAAGCAGACACGTCACGACGGCGCTCGTCAGGCCGTTCTGCACGCTCGCAAAGTACGGAAACGGCCCGCTGCCCGCAGGCACCACGCCGGCATCCACCACGAGCGAAATGAACGTCAGGAGCATGTACAGGTAGAAGAAGCTGAGAATCTCCTTGCGGCCGACGGCGGTGAACTTGCTGCGCACGTGCAGGACCATGATGACGGTCATGACGAGCGCGCCAATGTGGGCAAAGGACGCGGCGCCCTCGAAGATGATTGTGTTTGCGACCTCGATGTTGCGCGCGTAGCAGTTGGGCTCGATGCCGACGCGGCCCGACGACGAGAGGACGGGGCCGACGGAGGCGCACAGCGGCAGCGGCGTGTGCTCGCAGATGGAGGTGAAGTCGCCAAAGCCCGACATGATGGGCGATCTTGGTGTTTAGGGAAGAGGTCGTATTCGTTGTCGTCGGTGATGTCGCAAGCGCGCAAAGAAATCGTAACGAGCGAAGATGTCGGTACCGTGTCGATCAACAGCGTCCTTTCATCTGTCTTTTCCTTTTCCTATTGTATCCCTCTCTTCTTTTTTTTCCTTGCTCAGATTCACCTCACTCTTGATGCGACAGCTGCCAGGTAGATCCAAGCCAAAGCAAATAAACAAGACGCCACAGTCTTCCCTCCTCCCCACAATAGTAAACGAGTGTCGGGGGAAAACGATTGAACGGGAAAAGAAGAGAAAAGGAAAGAGAAAAGAGAAAGAATCCTTTGCGTCTTCTGTTTGCCCTCCTCCAAATGAATTCTTCCTCTTCACTTCTTGGAAATCGAGATGTAGTCGTCGATGGTGTTTCGAAACGAGGCAAGAATTGCGGTGGATACGAGATTTCCAAAGGGAGAACCTGGGGGAGGAGAGGAGAAAAAGGGCAGAGGAAAAGGCTGGGTGGGATTTCCAGCGGTGGGGCTACAGGGAGGGAAGGTGACTTTTGGCTACTGCTGGAAATACGAGGACACGGGCGTCTCTGCAAAGTATCGGTACCTGGACTAAGATAGCAGGTGAAAGAGAAACAGCAGCAGAAGCACAAGATGGCGATGATTGAAAAGAGCAAGGAACAGCTACAAAATGGTAAAGTAACTGCATTCAATTCGCCACTTTTAAGCATGATGCAGGTCCAGCCATGTTTTGCAGCACAAGATGCAGCTCCCTCCGTCTCCATTTACGCACTAATCCGTGGAGCCGTTGTCTCGGTGACCCAGATGTAGAAGTGAGCTCAAGCCAGGACCCAGCCAAGTTTATACAAATGCAATACAAAAGATACAGCGATACATCAAGAGCGGAAATTCATGCTTCATCATGATTAGTCTCACGCGTACTCTAAACGGATAGATACGGGGACTGTCCAGAGTAAGCCAACAGAACTCCAACACCACCAGCACGAGATTACATAATATCTTCGATACTACTGGCAATAGATACCCTGCAGCAACCTCAATAATCGTATTGCTCTCAAAGAGCATTCATGCTCCTGTAATGAAACAAGTCAGTTCATACACTCCCTTTTTTTTCTTTTTCTTAATTTATACACCTCTCGTACTCTTCATCCTTTCGTTATCGCTAGTAACGCCTCCCTTGACTCACAACATGGACATCTTATACACATCATGATGAAGCACAATATAGCGCAAGTTCAAGCCCAACAATCACTCAATCAAGGACAAAATCCCAAGTCCATCACAATCCAAGCATCACACTCTAGGCAAAAGACACGGACAGACACAAAATCAAAATCAATGACATCTAAGCAAAAAGCATCGTCAGCTCTCCCTGCAAAGGAGTCCATACAATATCCCTCTTCTCCTCTTGCCACTCAAACTCAAACCTGTTCAACATACACCCTCCCTCTCCCTCGATACCGTTCCGTTCGCGGCACATTATTCACCCAATAAATGAAATCACCCATAAGAGACAAAAACACGTATAAAGAACAAAGGCAACATCATAATGCCATTTCACTTCAATTCTCATCTCCCCAAAAGCCTAAATCGTAATTGTGGTATCTCAGATAGGAAAAAAAAAAGCAGATAAGAAAAGGTGTAATAACAGCAAGGCTAGTTCACAAAGTCAGAAAAAGAAGCTGTTCTGTTTCTCTCATTCCAGCCAGTTATGCCTTGCCGCCCTCCCTTTTCACTTGGCCCCATTTGTCAGGTAAAAAAACCAGACCACTGATCATTCATGCATCATCCATGGATATTATAATGGATATAGTAAAAATAAAGCTTCAAAAAAAGAAACGTGATAAAATAAAACAGAAAACGGGGAGTTAAGGCATTAACCGCGTAACCACAGGAAAAGAAATCAACTCCAAAAAAAGCTTCTGGAGACATATATGTGTATCAAGCATTTCCCTTTGGCACCCCCTGTAGACTCGCTCGACCAGGTTTCCCATTTTCCTTCGTGTGCTGTACCGTCGTCATGGACATACCCGAAAAACCGATCAAAGCCGTATATCCCCCAATGTACCAGCCAATTTCCTTTAACCAACGCCCAAACCATGCAAATCGATTTGCTTCGCCTTGATAAAATAGCACAAGCCCGAAAAAGAAAACAGATGGGAAAAAGAAAAAGAAAAACAGATTACACTAATAACACAAGGTAGGGGGGGATTAATACCCCCCCAGCTCCAAAAAAAGATACGGAAACGGAAAAAGAAAACATGAGTAAAAGTACAAAGATGTTGAGACACGCTGTCGAATAAAAACTTTTTGTCTCACAACATCTACTGTCGGTAGAAAGATGGTGTGCAGACATGCTTCCCATCTAGCAGCCAACGGTTGCAAAAGGAACAATGCAGCCACCCCTAGGGTACATACGCTCCTTGCACTCCATTGTGCGGGAGGGACTGTTGGCCTCTGTTGTACACGACAAACTCGGGCACCACGCCGGTGCGTAAATCGTTTCGTCGACCAAGAGGCTGGTAGTGCATCTGCGTAGGCTGGACGGGGACCGCCAAGTGATATTGATCCAGCGATGCCGATGGCGGTGGGTAGAGTAGCCGGTTGACGTGGCGGATAGGCCGGTAGGGGCTGGCCCGCTGCTGCAAGTAGACGCTGGGAGAGTGGGAGATTGGCGTAAGGGCAATGGGCGTGTGCATTCCCGAGGCGGTTCCAAACATATTCTCAGCCATGGGTGAAGAGGTGTAGGCAGAGGTGAGATGCTTGGTGGGCGTGGTATAGGCCATCGATGGCTGGCTGGGAAGCACCGTGTTGGGGAAAGCGGTCGAGGCTGATACCGTCGGGGCGGAAGAAGGCTGATAGACAGAGGACATGGCGCGTGCGCCGGGCTGGAGAGGCGGCAGAGAAACCACGTTCTGGCTGGCAGCGGCATAGGGGGACTGAGGAGCGTATCCAGTCGTCATTGGCGTCATGGTCATTGCCGCTGATGTTGCCGAGGCCGGGAAGACAGGTGGCTGAATGGGGGTAACCTGCGACGTGACGAGAGTGAGATGGGGGACAGGAAGCCTGGCCGAGTCCTTGGGCCGGGCGTTCATGACCGGTGGCACCGTCATGTTGGGTCTTGGAGGAGCTTGACGCATCTGTCGCTTGGCAGGGTGCTCAATCGGGTCGACTTCGGGGCTGCGCTTTCGGTTGATGGGCAGAACCATGGTCGGCCTTGCAGCCAGCGGCGACACGGGGTTGGCGTGGTACATGGCCCAGTTCTGAGCGTGTCTAGAGGTCGTAGGCGAGAAGTTTGGTGCGCCGCTGGGCATGAAGGCCATGTCAGCAGGGGCTGCCAGCGTCGTCGTGGTCGGCGAGGGGATGGGAGAATGGAAGCTCCTGGAAGATGGAGAAACGTGCAGCGGCGATGCCGGGATATTGAGGGCCTGTTCGTAGTAGTCGTGGAAGCAGGCCAGCTTGGTCAACCAGTCCTCCCACTCGTCCTTGGAGGCAAGGAGGTTGTAGCGCATGTTGCTCAGAAACTCGACTTCCATGACGTGAATCTCGTTGACGGTGAAGCAGGACACTTCCGCCCACGTCTTGTTAGTGTAAGTGTTGTCGTCGAGGACTAGACACTGGTATTAGCCTTTCTTCTTCCGCTCAATGATTCTTCCATCAAGAGTGCTTACATTTATTGCCAAGCATGAGAGAGACAGTCAACAATCGGTACTCGCTGCCTCCTCGCCCCTTGATCTGCGGCGTCGAGCACTTGAGTCGATAGATGAACAGCAGAGCTAGCAGAATTACGTTTTGTGTCACCTGGGTGGTGGACAAGACGTTGTAAACCCATTTTCGAAACTGCGAGCTTGGCTTGGCCAGATCCACCAGACGAGAAGGAAGGACATTTGGCCGTGATTTCATACTCTCGGCCTTTCTGAGGTGCTCATGAGGTTCGAACCAAAAGAGGCACGTCATCTAGAAAGGAAAAACGTAGCGTTAGCAAACTGGGCAACCGGGCAGAGGGGAAAAGGCGAGAGAGCAGCGAAGAACAAGACAAACTTGCGAAGCTTGTAGGGCGAGAGAAATTGTAGAACAAAATCGAAATAGGTGCATGTATGGTTGCTAGGAAAGGATTTGACAAACCTGAGCTGCAAAATCCGCCAAGCTGCCGCCGCTGGGGCTGATGCATCTCGGGATCTGGAGACTGTGGTAGATGAGGGCCTCAGAGCTCCTCCGTGACGAGGCAGCATCCTTGGCGGAAACGACAGAGGCGGGCGTTGATTTCGCAGATCGATCAGAAGGGGTGCTGTGTAGTGGTGCGTGCAGAGTCTGCGAGACGGGGATCTGGTGCTGGTATTGGTGTTGGTTTTGCTGGACTGCAGGATATCGGCTATACTGCCGAGCATCATTGAGGCCAGCTACGGCCACAGTCTTTGGCCTGCTGGGGTGGACAATTGCCGACGTGTATGATCGCAGGGCATGGCTGTCGTAGGCGGCCGGCACCTGCTGGTAGGTGGTGCTCATCTCGTCCACTGGAGGCGTCCGCAGGCCGTTTGCCAGATGCTGGTAATGGATGTCGCGGGCGAGAGTCGAGGGCTTGGGCAGGGCAATGCCAGGAGGAGGCAGCACGGGTCGTCGAGAGCCGGAGAATGACGGCGACAGCGGCAGGTGAAGAAGATGCGTCGAGGGCGCAGCTGTAACCGACATGGGGAGCCGATGACGAAAGTGAAGCACGACGAGCAGCGCGGATGTGGATGGTTGGATGTTTTATGGAGGAGCGAGGCTCGCAGTGACGCAGCGCCGCGCGGAGTTGGAAAGGCGCAGTGGGTTGGCAGAGGGGAAGAGAAAGGAAAAGAAAAGAGAGACGATCGAGACTCGCAGTTGAGATAAAAGGATTGTGGGTTTGGGAAGAGGTGAGGCCAAGATGAGAAGCAGAGGAAAGTCGTCGACTAGAGTTTGGATCTGGGTGTAAGTGAGGTGGGTACAATATCTGCGCGTTGCAAGCACCAGCAGGTACAGGTACAGGCCCAGGCCAGGTCCCGGCCCAGGTACCGGTACATGCAGACACGCGCAGCGCCAGCAAGAGCCACAGACCCCAGGTTTATTTCTGTGCGGCGGAGGTGCCAGGGATGTGAGGGTACATGCGCCTGTATCTTTTTTTTTTCGGGGCTGCCAGTAGCGGCACAGTGAGTGGCTCTTGAGTCTTGAGTCTTCGGTTTGTCTTTCTTTAGCCCGCGTTTCTTGATTGCCTCTTTCGTCTTGCTCTGCCTGGATTTGGATTTGGATTTGGATTTGGATTTGGATTTGGGGTTTCTTGAACAGGGCCGACGAAGAGAGAATTAGCCTTGAGGCTTGTAGTCTTTTGGCTCTTGGTTGGTGTAGACTGCCCGAGAAAGCAGAGCAGAGCACCAGGTGCTGTATCGTACATGGCAGCCTGTGCTCGTGTGAGGTAGCAGCACCGCTAATTCATGGCAGTAGCACCGCTAGCTCGCACCGCTAGTCCCTCGTCTGGCCAAAGTGGTACGTACCGGCGAGGTATGGATGGCGTCCGAAAGAGCCACAAGAGCCAAAAGAGCCACAAGAGCCAAAAGAGCCAAAAGAGCCAAAGGAGCCCAGCCAGCGGTGCTAAAACGCCGCCGGACCAGGCAAGGAACGCTTTGCTGACATGCATCCCTAGCATCAAAACGCGGAACCAGGCCAGAAGCCGGCGGTACAACTGACGAGCACAGCACAAGAGAGCAGCGCATGGAAGACATGAACCAGATGCTAAAATGAGAAGGGGGGGCAATCGGTTATGGGTTCCAGGAGAGGTGCACAAGAACAGCAGCAGAAAGGGAAGGGAACCCCCCCGGCCCCAGAAAAAGGGACGCTGAAGGAGGGGGGTGACGAGAAGCACGACGAGAAGGGCTGACGAGTTCAAGCGGGCTGGTTGGCTGCGTCGGCTGCCATGGCATGGGTACGGCTCGTTTCTGTTTCGGCGTCGCTGAGGTTTCGCGCTTCTGGCGATGGCTCTGGATTTGGCCACGGCCATGGCGGCTCGGCGGCGGCCACGGGGGGAGTCGTCGGCGTCGGAGGAGGCATTGACTGCGAGTTGTGGATGAGAGCTACCTAGAGCAGAGGTGGTTACTGGCGCGCTGGTACTGGTACTGGCACGGTACTGTGCGCGGATGGATGTCGCGATGGCGGATGCGAGGATGGGCTGGGCTGGGCTGGGCTGGATCTCGAGATGGAGAAGCTGGCGGAGGCACTGGCGCTGGGCATGGGGCTGGCTCTCACGCGGTACCTGCGCCGGGCAGTACCCACGCCGCGCAGGCCTCTCGGGGCATGCTCCAGGTACCTCTGAGCGCAGAGTACGCGGCGGCGCCACGCCAATCCTGCCCAATGAGAGGCAAGGCGAAGCCCACAGCGCCCTGGAGCTCCAAAGCGCTCCTCGTACCCAGCAAACGGAGCAGCTAGCGACATTGATGGAGCGTAATTGCGCTACGCCAGCCCGAGGAGGGTCACCGAACGAGACTGGAGCGAGGGGCGTCTTTTGGGTCTGGCCTTGTATGAAATTTATTTTCCATCTTTTCATCTCCATTTGAATGTTAATTCTCGCAGTGCTAAATGACTACGCCACGCTCCAGCAAAGGATCCATTCTCTATTCTCTATTCTCCATTCTCCATTCTCCATTCTCCATGTACTTGATACTGTAATCAGAAACGGACACGACGCCTGTTTTATGCCCGGCTTTCCGACGAGCGCAGTTGAGGTGGATATGCCCAGGTATCAAATCGTATCAATCTGGATTTGAGGCTGCCCCCCTTGTATGTAATGCTCTCAATGACTGTACCGCTTTTGCCCACTGCCCACACCATCCAACTCTGTACCGGCACCGTCTGCAGGTCTATGCCCAAGCAGCAAGTCCTCCGAGTCGCAACGGGCATCTCCATCCATCATCCATCCATCCATCCATCCAATTTACTTCCACTGCGCGTCTGCGGCCCCTGTCGCGTCGACATGTTCTACCCTCGTGAGCAATGTCACTGCGTGCAGATGGATACACGCCGACTGCTCTCAACAATGCAGCCGTGCGAGGTGTTTGCCGCCTGGCCGGTACTTACAAGCACGTCCACTGAAAGTACCTGTACAGCACGCAGTGACCGTTCTGCGGGGTCCTGAATGACCGCCTGCAGCGCATTTTGCAGCGACTGTCTCCAGCTAGAACTGCTAAACGGACCGCTAGTCTCTCTCAATCAAATGCTCAACCGCATCACGCATCACGCCGACCCGACTGTGGCGGCAACCCGCGAAGCCCCCCTGCACTGCGCGCATGGATGGGCCGTGGACAAGATTCAGCACCAACAGGCAGTTGAGCAGCTGAGCCTGGGCATTTTGCATTTTAGCGGTTGGAGTGGGTAAGGACTGGGCAGTGGAGGACAGGACAGTGGGAAGCAGAGGGTGAGTGAGTGATCCTTGACGAGCCCAGCTGACTGACACGGCGCCTGGAAACGGTCGTGACTTTTGCGTGATGCTGCCATTTTTCTTTTTTCTCTGCCCCGAAACACCCGCAGCCGGCCTTTTGTTCTGCCTGATGGCGCTTCAAATCGCTGTAGTGAGTTAATTAATGTTCATCTCTTCCTTGTTTATCTTTTACTTCGCAAAGGAGGCAGACGGTCCATGTCTCTTCTCTGGCTCCCCTCTCTCTAATTGCACCCCTGCATCAACACCCATACTGTGCCGCCAAAATGCCTTGAACATTGATCAATTACACCTTGTAGCCTACATACAAGTCCTGCTGCTAGTTCTACTTCTAGTTCTGCCACCACCACCTGAATGTTGCAGGGTTGGGGCTTTAAAAGGCATAAAGCGACCGGGGGCACATACAACGGTATATGCATCCAGAAACTCTCAACATTCCTCTCTTGCTTCATCACTCACATCACCAGCTTGACTTGCAACACGGCTCATTCTTGATGCCGAAAATAGGAGCAAGACGAGATGACGGCGTCTGTTGCTCGCTTGATGCCTCCGCAACAGTCAGCCCCCAGTGACACATAATATTCTACAGACGTATACAGATCGTAGTAAGACATCAATGCCTGGGCAAGTAATAGCAGTTGTACAAGTACATGCCTGTTAGCATCTTTGCTTTTTAGGCTAACGCCTTGGGAGCCATTTCGCCGCCGCTTTTTTTCTTTCTTTTGCTCAAATAGCTAGCCGTAAGCTAATGAATTCTGCTGCCGCCTTTTTGCTTGCCTGCTTCCTGGCCGTGTTCCCCGTTTTCGTCCCATTCCCTTCAAGTACGAAGTGGTATTTTACTGGGTAGTGCTAGCAGCAGTAGTACGAAAAAGGGTCCAGGTGCCTGTGAGGGTAGGGATCTGATCTGCCACTTTTGCGTCTATGGGGCAAAATTCATACGAGCAGACTATACTGGTGGTGCTCAGTAAGTGGCATTTATACGAGCCTTGGAGAAGCCACGGCGAGGAAAACACTATCCATGTTTTACCAGCATCAAGCTATATCCGCTTCACGTTGCGCAGAGTGAATATACATGTACCGTAATAGCTTCGCTGTTGGCCCGGCAAACGTGGCAATGGCGGTAATGGCAGCAAGACAAAATTTCAACCGAGCATATCTCGTCTCGTACCCGGCGTCCGGCTGCTCCACTTGGAATGGCCTCGCTTGCCCCCTTCAAGAAAACGGAGTCGTGTTCCGCAGACTTGATGACGAGAACAGATGATGCCGGGTGCTGATGCTGATCTGCTACAAGTATGACAGCTAAAAAAAGATGGTAACTGAAATTTTCATTTAGATGCTCTTTTCGGCCCCTTTGCAAGAGCAAGGTTCAATGTTCTTTGATGGACCACGCACTAATACAAACAAACAAACAAACAGGCCGCAATCCCATCACGAGGCTCTATATAACCAACCGTGCGTACTGTGCTTTGCTCAAGCTTTGCTTTGCGTTACCTATTGCCTACCCATGAATCCATGATCCACCGACACCCAAATTCGATCCCCCCCGATCCGCGTCAGCCAGCCCCTGCGTGGAGGGCGGATACAAAAGCATAGCGCCAGGGCTTATTGCTGATGGATACGTACATTTTTGCCCGTAATTGTAGCCTTGCATTGCTTTTAGGCCTGTCTGATATCTCGCCAGGCGATGATGTCTTTTTTTTGCGCGGGGGAGAGCACAGGGACCACAAAAAGATGAAAAGAGTGGCTATTAAAGGATGACTGTTGTTTCCCTAAGGCATAGGTACTAGTTGTATGCTGGAGCTGGCGAGGTGATAATACCGATGATGCTATTGCTTGCGTCTTCTAAGCGTGTCACTTGGGTAATAAGAAATGTGACTTAGGTCTGGAAATATAGTCTTATAGAAGGATAGTAAGGCTTTCTTTAGTTGATAAATGTTTACTCTTCTGCTTATTTATGTTAATATTTAACTGTATATTTTAGTGTTTAATTAGATAATTAATTAGTTAATGTAAGATATAGTTATGCGCAGTTTATTATTCTCGCAATGGTGATTTTTATTAAAAGGTTAGACCTTAAAATAAGGTAAATAAATAAGGGCGGAATTTATATATATAGCTTTTTACTTTATTTAGCTATATAGAGCCTAAAGATATAAAAGTATAAAAGTTTAGAGTTATATAGTAATAAGTAAGACTAACTTTTGCTATAAGCTAAGAATAAGCTATTAGTATAATTACAGAGGGTATAAGCGGGGTCGCTCTAATTTATGTATAAGCTTTAGGTACTTTACTTACTAGCTATTAAGAATATTCTCTTAAGATCCCGTAGGAATAGCTTCCGCCTTTATTATAGCTAATTATATAATTGTAGGTTAAGTGTAGCTAATGCTAGAAATAAGGCTAAGGACACTTAAGGTTATAGCTTTTTTTACTATTTTAAATTTACTTAAGTATTTATTCTGCCTTATAAGCAGGTAGCTTACTAAGCTTTGCATAAGTAAGTAGCGCTAGAAAATGCCCTTAGGCTATAGAGCTAAGCTAAGCTTTTACTTTATTTACCTTTTTACTCTTAAGCTATTTATCTGTAATATTATGGTAGAATATAAGAGCTAGATGTACTATTATAGCATAGTATTTGCTTATCTTAGGTTAGTTAGTAAACTTACTATATAATTAGATTTATATAATATTTTACTTATAGAGTGTTAGTAATAGGGATCTTACTAATAAAATTAACGCACTATTATATTTAAATTAGTTTCTCCTATTAAGCCGGTTGTAAACTTATTAAGTGCTATTAACTCTTTATAATTACCTGCCTAGTTACTAGCGCGCGTAGCGTTATAATTTTCTAACGCAAGGTTTAGGTTAAATATTTATAAAATCTCTATATTCTTTTTATTAGCATTTAAAGCATAGCTGTGAATAGCTATAGTATAATATTGCCCTAAGAGTTTAAGCTTAGCGGTAATATAATGCATTTTATAGTAGTTAAAAGTACCCTCCTGTAATTATTATTACTAAAAGACTTTATATAATAACTTTAAATATATAAAAAGAGCTATATAAATTTTTTATTTTAGTAAGGTAAAGCTTTAAATAAAACTTTTATTTAAGGCTACTGCTCTTAGCTTTAGATACTATAGTATTTATAAGGTAAATAAGACTTATTTGCTAGAATATAAAGTAAGTAGTATTTTTAAAATTTTTATAAAAGGTTAGTACTAGGCGTTTTAAGTGGTTTATTAAGGCTGTATAAATAGCTTTTAGAATAGCTTAAGCTAAGGTAAATAACTTAAGGTATTATAATAAATAAGGCAATTATATAAATAGCTTAAATACATTAGTAATAATAATATGCAAGTATATGCTATTTTAGTAAGTAAGCTATATCTAGTATTCTTAGAATAAAGAGGTAATATAGTTAATTTGCTTACTGTATAATGGTTTTAGTATAGCTGCTTTTTTTACCTCTTATTAAATTAAAAGGCAGAGACTGCGCTTATAATAGCAGTTTATAATATATACTCTCTGTAAACTTAAGTAATAAATTACATTTACTGTAATATTTCTATAGTACTTTATTAAAGAGTGCTTATAATTTATAAGAGGTATGGAAAATAGTAAAGTTAATTCTGCTTGCGACTGCCTTACTGCTTTCTAGATTTAATATATCTATAAAATCTCCTAGTATAGGGATTACTAAAGGCGTTTTAACTTCTATAGTCTAGTAATAGAGATAGTGCAGGCTATTAATTGCAAATTAATATAAATTCTTAGTAGCTAAATTAAGCATATATATAACACTTAGTTAAATGTTCCCTATGTTGTAAATAAAATAGCCCTTTTTTAGCTGTTTTTATTATAATTAGGCGGTATAGGAAGCTCTGTGGAGGCTTAGTGTTTAAAGACCCTTATTTGCTTCCTTATCTTTATACTATCTTAAAGGAGCTGCATAGTAAACTTATCTTTTGCATACGCTATTACTATAATACTTAAGATTTAAATAGCTGCTATAGCTATAATTAAATCTTAAGTTAGTTTTAGTAATAAAATTAATATTGCTTTATTAAAAAAGGCTATACTTAGTGCTGCTGCTTATGTATTTATAGTAATAA